TGCATCTCTAAGTCCCCAAGTCACCACTGTGCCTGTCCCTCCATTTTCTTCCCCCTTCCCTGAGGCAGGTGAGCAGGGCAGAACTTTGGTATTGGAAATCCAGATCCCAGTGGCCCCACTGCCAACTGCTTCATGCTGCCCATCCCCTTACATATTTCTTAGCTTGTCCTACCCTTTCCCTGCTAACTATCTATTGGATATATTCTCTCTCTCTCTTTCCACACCCACAGGCCCACTATGGCCATTTCCCAGACAACTACACTAGAAAATAAGACACCGTTATTACACTCCCACTTTCACACAGTAACTGAGGGATGCTCTCACCCATCATATGTGCCCGTTATAGGAACAGTTATAAGGATGCACTCTTATCTGTTACAGAAAACACAGTCACTGGCATCGCAGACAAATGCAGTTGTACAAATGACTCAGACCCCCTTCCGGTGCCCCAGCCCCCTTACAGTCATGCATTTTGCTTGCAGTTGAATCCCAGCAGCCTGACACTGGTGCATAATAGACACTCGATACATACTCGTTGGGTAGATTTTAAAAAGTATTCCTCAGAGACATGCCGAGTGTATCTGCGTGGCCACCCCCACCGTCATGCTCACTCTCACATCTGGCTTTCCCCTCATGGACACACAGTCCCACAAACACAAAGTAATTAAGTTATCACACACACCCCCCTAAGCTAAAGTACAACCCCTGGCCCAGGGGTCTCTCCCAGAGGGGGGAGGGAGCCGGTGTGGGATCCAAAGGGGCCGCCCTCTGTGGCTGAGCCCTCCCTCTCCTCCTCCCCCAGCCCCAGCCCCAGCCCCAGCTGCTCCTCTTTTAATTGGAGGCACTTCTTCATTCTGCAGGGGAGGGGAAAGGGGGAGCAGAAGGCACTTGGGGGTGGTTGCCAGGTGGCATTAGGGCCAGAACTCACCTAGACACATGCAAGGTACTCCTGCAAAGCAAGGACCACATCTATCACGTCTGGTGTTGAGAAATCAGCCTGTAATGGATGGAGTCAGAAAAACAGCCTTTGAGGCCAGTCTCTGTCCCAGAGTCAGAAAAACAGCCTTTGAGGTCAGTTTCCATCCCTTCCCAGCTTTCAGGGCCTCAGTTTTCTCATCTGTGAAGTGGAGATAACAAATGCCACATCACAGGGTTATTGGAGGATGTCACGAGATAACAGCTGTGACTTAAGGTGCCAAGGACATCACTGTGGTGTCCGCTCCTACACTCTTTTCCTCCCCTCCTCTTTCTTAACCGGCTGCCACTGGGGAAACACAAAAACTGCACCAAAGGTAAGCCTGTGTGTGTCTTCCCCACCCCCTTCGGAAAACTTTCTGGCTTCAGGTAACACTGCTTCTGGGAGGGGTGGGGGCCAGAACCCAGCAGCTCCTGTCCCTCTTGGCTCAACTTCCTAGGAAAAGAAGGGACTGAAAGGGTGTCCTGGGCCCTCAGCAACTACTCTGTTGGAAAACAAAGGCCAAAGTCAATTGGACACAGAGAACCTCATCTTGGGGAAGGTTAGCACTCAGAACTGGATTGGGATAAAAGTTGATTCTGATAGGTCAGAGAGGCGGGGGTGGAGGGGAGTGCGGAAGAGATCAATGAGGCAAACAGCTGTAAGGGCAGGGGAAAGTCAAGATGTCCCTGGGTTGCAGGATTTTGATAAGAGCCTCCTGACAGTCATAAGAGGCCACCAGGCAGCTGTGGCCTCTGCCAACCTTTGGCTGGTGAGGTCTCCTGCCAGGGACTCTGGCCCACTGGTGCCAGATCTGAGGACTCCAAGAGGTGAGTAAGGGAGATGCCTAAATGGTGGAACAGGCAAGGTCAGAAAGACACAGGAGCTGGAAAGATTCAGCCAGAGGAGGAAGAGGGGGAATGGGGAGAGAGAAACACTCGGGAGGCTCCTGAATGGGCCAGAGGGTGGCAGAGGGAAGTTGTCCTAAAGATAACCTAGAGAAAGACAGGGCTTTAATTGCAGCAGACAGAACTGTGGTTAATCATGAAAAGGAGCAAGACTGTGCAATCCAGGCTCAAAGGAAGCAGAAGCAGCCCTCTCCGTACTTTCCAGCCTCATACAGGGAAACCAATTCAGATTTGGGGAACCCAGATTATCTTCTGTCTGTGGGACTTTGGGCAAGTTTGTTCATCTCACCAAGTCTCAGTTTTTGTTTTTTCTTTTTTAAAAATGAATAGAATGCATATACCACAATATTCCCTTTAAGTCATACAATTCAGTGGTTTTTAATATATTCACAAAGTAGTGTACCCATTACCACTATCTAATTCCAGAATATTTTCATTGCTTCAAACAGAAACTTTGTATCCATTTGCAGCCACTCCCTACCCTTCCTCCCCCAATCTCTGGCAACCATTTATCTACTTTCTGCCTCTATGGATTTGTCTATCCTGAATGGTTCATATGAATGCAGTCGTCTAATAAGTGGACTTTTGTGCCTTAGCATAATGTTTTCTAGGTTCTTCCATGTTGTAGCATGAATAATATTCCGTTGTATGGATACACCACATTTTGTTGATCCATTCATCAGATGATGAACATTTGAGTTACTCCCACCTTTTGGCCATTATAAATAATACTGCAATGAACACTCATTCAATTTTCATAGTTATTTTAAAATTGGAGCTGCTTCTATTAACTTCACAGAGCTGTGAGTCTTAAATGAGATCAGTGTGGTGTGGTGCCTGGCCCATCGTAGTTTCTCAGTTAAACACGTAGGTTTATCTCTGCTTTAGTTCCTCTAAGATAAGAGGCAGGGAAAAGACAAATTTAGTTTCAAACAACCTTTTGAAGAAAGTTATGGACTCTCCTTGGTAAGGTTGTAGAACCTGGATTGGGTGGGTGGAGAGGAGTGAACTGGCAAGGGAGTAGAGTGCTCTCCTGTTTCTGCTCAATGTTTACAAACCACCACTTATTTCACACATGACCTTGCCTTGAGTGGGCCTTTGTCCACCTGCCTGGAGCCCAGACAAGGTTTCCCCCCTTAGAGATGCATTTCCAACCAGCAGCCAGGTTTCCAGGCTAACCCATAAAAGCAACTCATATCCAGCTTCCCCATCTTGACCAAGTCACTTAGCCTCTGAAACTTGGCTTTCTTACATCTATAAAATAGAGAATACTAATCTTGAAGAGTTGGAGTTCATAGTGTTCTCCATAATACTTATCATGATCTGACTTATTGTTATTTGCTTCTTTGTTTATTGTCTAACCCCCTCTAGGGAATGTAACCTCCATGAGGGCAGGACCTTTGTTTTCTTTACTGCTGTTTTCCCAGTGCCAAGAACAATGCCTGGCACATGGTAGGTATTCAATAAATATTTGTTGAATAAGGAGGTTCATTCATTCATTTTTCACCCAAGATGAGTACATCCTGTGGGTTGGGGCTATCCTCCATGAGGGGTTGGGAGAATGAGATGAGTTCCCTGCTTCCAAGGAGGTCTCTTCACGTGGAAATAACAGACATGACCAAAGCAAATAGACTGTAATGAGACTTGATAAGTAGAATGTGAACTTTCACATTCTAGCATCTTGCCTGATAGAGAAAGTCTCTCCCTGAAGACCTGTTGAATCTGAAATAGACCAGAAATAGATCCAAAGTGATCCAACGTGCACCCTTCCCAGAACTTGGCTCCTGGCAGGGAGCAGACCTTTCCCTACTGAAGAGGGAAAAGAGAGGAAGCAGAAAAAGGGAGTTTCCTCCTTCTCTTCTGGGCTCTAAGCCAGTCACCCCCAGGCAAAACTTTAAAAGGCCTAAATTTGTCCAGATGCACTTCCCTGATCTTGGTCGCACCAACCCCAGCCCCCCACTGCCTTAAGGCCTCCCTCCCAGGATTCCAAAAGTAAGAAAATAACTCCTTCCCCTCACCACAGTTCAAAGGTGTCTTGCTTGGAATAGCCAACCCTGGGCTAGTTACTAGGTGTAAACAATCCGATTGGATTCATTCACGTACTATGGGCACTGCTTCTTTGAGGCATCTGTTTCTTCAAAAGGAAAGGGGTATCTGAGGCATGGGCACCCTGGCAGCAGGCCCCAAGCCACCTCTCGACTTTTGCCTTTCTCTCAGGAAGTCTTCCTGTCTTCCTTTCCTCAGTTTCTCTAAATAGGCTGGGTTGGGGTGGTTGTTGATTTTTTCAGCAACATATAGCCAGTTGTTCATAGGCCTGTGTTTTTAAAACGGACAAGCCTGAACTCACCTTCCTGCCTCAGGGACCTGGGCTCCATACCTGGGAAGTAGACAGTCTTCTACTTTCTAACAAGCCAGACTTGAAGTTTGCAGTAAATCCTCCTGTTGAAGGACAGGTGCTTCCCAGCTGAGCCCTTGGGGGAGATTCTCCAATAGCGCAGGGACACCCTTCCCCAGAGGCCTAGTGGGCTGGACCTCTTTGGCCCAATTCAAAGTGAAGGGAGACTCTTGCCAGACTGGGAAGAGGGCTCTGTCCTCTACCTCCTTGGGTCCGTCTCTTTATCGGTCTCCGGGAATGGCCGCCTCCTGTTCTTTTTCTCCTTTTAAGTCTCTGAATCTCTTCTTCTCTCTCTTCCTGAACTACTTCTCGGAGCCTCGGTCTCCGTCCCTCTGTCTCTGGTTCCTGCATCAGTCTCGGCTCCCGGCCTCCCTCTCCCCCTCTCCGCCCCTCCCCCGTGCTGTCATTCACCCGGCTCCTCTCCACGCACAGCCAATGGAGAGACCCGGCCGAAACGGCTAGGCTCGCTCGCACCGGGCTTTTTCGCCCGGTGATTGATGTCCCAGAGTCAACATCGAGCTAGCAGCCGGAGAGGGGGAAGGAGCAGCTTGAGAGGGGAAGAATACGGCGCCCCCCTCTCCTTCCCCTCCCCCCTACTTTAGCCCTCTGCGCACTTCGCCTCCAAGTCTCCGCGCAACCAGGAGCGGCTGCCGCCTCCGCGCCCCTGAGCGCTGCCCCCCGAGCCAAACACAGCGATCGCCGCCGCCCAGGCCCCCCCGCGGGGCCGGGGCCGGGGGCCAGCATGGAGCACCTGGGTCCGCACCATCTCCACCCCGGCCATGCGGAGCCCATCAGCTTCGGCATCGACCAGATCCTCAACAGCCCGGACCAAGGCGGCTGCATGGGGCCCGCCTCGCGCCTTCAGGACGGAGAATACGGCCTTGGCTGTTTGGTTGGAGGAGCCTACGCTTACGGCGGCGGGGGCCCAGCAGCCGGGGCGGGGGCCGGGGGCGCGGGGGCCTATGGTGCTGGCGGTCCCAGCGGCCCTGGTGGCCCAGCTAGCGGCAGCGGCGGCGCCTGCAGCATGGGCCCTCTGGCTGGCTCCTACAACGTGAACATGGCCTTGGCGGGCGGCCCCGGTCCGGGAGGCGGCGGCGGGGGCGGCGGGGGCAACGGGGGAGCGCTGAGCGCTGCAGGGGTGATCCGGGTGCCCGCGCATAGGCCGCTGGCTGGAGCGGTGGCCCACCCCCAGCCTCTGGCTACCGGCTTGCCCACCGTGCCCTCCGTGCCTGCGGTGTCGGGTGTCAACAACCTCACCGGCCTCACCTTCCCCTGGATGGAGAGTAACCGCAGATACACAAAGGACAGGTTCACAGGTGAGTCCGGCCCGCGCGCGCCCCGCCTGGCCGCGGCCCGGGCTCTGCGCTACCTTTCCCCTGCCCGCTGGCTCCCCGCAGCCCCCTCTACGCACCAGGTTACCCAGCTCCTCTCGGTGCTTCCCCTGAGTTCAGCCGCCCGCCACCTTTCCACGCGCGCGGAATCGCCATGCTCGAAGAGTTCTCCCAACCTGGGCCCCTCTGCGTCCCTCCCGCAGGTCCCCTACTCTGAAAAGCGCTCCCTGATCCCCTCTCGGCGTCCCTGGGCTCAGCCTGGCGGAGGGAAGGGTGATGTAGCTTCGGGACTACCTTTCGCCGGCATTTGGGGCTCGGGAATCTTGGAGAAAGGGGCCCGATGTGAATAAACTGTTTCTTCCGTCTGGGCCGACGTTCTCTGGCTGAGGCGACGAGCCCCAGAATCAGACATCAGACGCTAGGAAAGAACAGGTTCCCCACCTTTCGTCCTCTACACACACACACACACACACACACACACACACACACACACCACTTCACTTCGGGCGCCGAGCTGCAGCGTCCGTTGCGCTTGCCGGGCCCGGCAGAGCCCCCGAACCTGAGTAAAGCAGCAGAGCTGGCGGGCCCTCTTTCCCGGACTGCGGGCTTAGTCCAGGTCGGTGGCAGCGTGAGGCCGAGCCTCCCGGTTCATTTTCGTTCGGTCCCGGGATGGTGTCCTGCTCTCTGGGCCCAGCCCTGTTCCCTCCAGTGTGAATAATGCACCGGCCTGGCCGGCGATCGATCGGCGGCGGCCCAAGGACAACTCCTGGGACGATTACGCACTCCGCGGCGGCCTACTGCCGCCCTCTCCGCTGCCTGCTCCGCGCCTTCCTCCGCTCGCTCCGGCTCCCTCCGCTCTCGCTTCCGCTCTCGGCACTCAGCACTCGCTCACGCGCGGGCCCCTTTCATCGGCCTCACTTCCCTCTACCCCTTAGTATTCCTAGGATCCGAGGCTAGGGTCCTCGATCTTCCCGCTGAGTCCAGCTCCCAAGCCCGTTGAGAAGTAGCCACGAGTTGAGCCTAGGTTCCCAGCTGGGCCTTAGAGGCGGCGGGAGGTACCGGCGGCTGCCGAAGGCGGGGCGGGACTCCCATGGGGCTCGGGCTGCAGGGCCCAGCGGCGGAAAGGAGGTAGGGGGGCAGCCATTCTGCTCTGGGCCTCCAGGAAGGACCCTGTACTCAAGGGACCCCGGTGCCCCAACCTGAGACCTCTCAGCCTGAGGAGGCAGAGTCTGCTGCCCATTCCACTCTCCTTTCCCACCCAGGCCAGGCCACTCTTAAAGGGCTCTGATGGAACCCTCAGCCTGGAACCCACTGGTCTCGGGTCTCTGGTGAAAGGTATTCCACACAGGGCCTACCTAGGGGAGCCACTGCCCACCCTAATCTTGCTTCAGGCCTGAAGAAGGTTCGAGGGAGTGAATGGCTGTCACTTTGTGTTGCCTTGTGTTGCTCTGTGTCCTGTATGTGCTTGTGTGCCTGTGTGTCCGGCTGGGTGTATAGATAGATAATTTGTCCCTGTGGTATGTGATGTGTCTGTGTGTGTTGCTGTGTGGTGGCGGCTCAGGTTAGGACCCAGGGTCCCCCGCCTTGATCAAGCATGGCTTCTTGCTGCTGGGCAGCTTCTCGGAGGCTGGAGGCCGGGAGCAGTGGGGGGCTGCGACCTTTAGCTCGCCCCAGGCGTGCCCCTCAAGGAGACTGGGGAGGTGACTGCGCGGTTTCTGGCTTGGGCACCAGGGAGCCCGGGGCTAAGGAGGCCTCCGTGGCGGTGGCGGCGGCGACAGCGGCGTCGGCCTGACGGGCGGGAGGGGGCCTGTTCCCGCCGCGGGCTTGGAGCTGAGGGCTGACGGGAGGATCGCGGCCTGGCTCCTGGGGTCTGGCCTCTGTGCTCGCTGATCGCGGGGAGTCGGGCCTGGGACGCCTCCTGACGCTCTGCCGCTTGCCTCTGCCGTCTGTCTGTCTCCCCGCTCCAGTGGCCCTCTCACCCTTCACTGTAACACGCCGTATAGGTCACCCCTATCAGAACCGGACGCCCCCCAAGAAGAAGAAGCCGCGCACGTCCTTCACGCGCCTGCAGATCTGCGAGCTGGAGAAGCGCTTCCACCGGCAGAAGTACCTGGCGTCGGCCGAGCGCGCCGCCCTGGCCAAGGCGCTCAAAATGACCGACGCGCAGGTCAAAACCTGGTTCCAGAACCGGCGGACCAAGTGGAGGTGAGCGCGCGGGGCGGGCAGTTCTCAGCGCCGGGGTCTCTCCTGGGGCGCTCACGCCCCTTCGGCTCGCCGGCTTCAGATCGGTTCCCTGCTGCCGGGAACCGGGAGCAACCGAGGCCGATGGCCGCGGTGGGGTTGGAGAGCCCTGGCTCTGTTTTACCGGAGGCTTCCTGGCTTTCTGACCGATACACTCAAGGCCGGCTGGTCGCCGCCGCTGCTTGGGGAACCCGCAGGGCTGGAGCACAGCCCTTGCAGTCAGGGCTTTGGAGATCGGTGAATCCTGAGGGACTTTTTGTTTGCGCAAAGTAGCGCTTACAGAGATGCCTCCTCCATCCCGGGGATTGGAGATCGGATGGCCTGCGCCTCGTTTCTGCGCCCCAGCCTGGGCTCCTCGCGGGGCTGCCGGGGCCCCAGACCCGGAGCCTGGGCCCCGCTGACTCCCTCCTCCCCGGACACTCTGCCAGGCCCTTTCGCTTACGGCCTCCCCCCCTGGAAGAGGAAAATCAATCCGCGCCGGCTGCAGCGGGGTTTTGGAGAGTCCCACTGAAAGGGAGGATCAATTAGGAGCAGATGGGTGTGTGTGTGTGTGTGTCACACACATTTACCCTTCTCCCGTCACACACCCATAGCTACACTAAACCCCCCCTCCCGTCACGCATACGTATCTCCCTCCTTCCCTCTCTGTCTCTGTCTCTCTCTGTCTCTCTCAATGTCCCACACTCCTAGGCAGCCTTGTTCACCGCAAGCCCTGGCGCTTTCTCCAGCTGTACCCACTTGCACCCCTCCCGCACATCTGGCCCGCATACTTGGTTCCACAAGTTTGGTTCCAGAAGTTTCTCGCTCGCTCAGGCCTCACCGGGGAGAGCGCAGGAGAGTCTGGGGAAGTCCGGGGCGCCGTGGGCGCGGGCGGAGGGAGCCTAGCGCTGGAGGAAGAAATTGGAGTTTCCTCTGTTTCTGAATGAAGGCGAGGAATCTCTCCGGGATTCCGCCTTCTTGGCCACAAAGGAAGCCACTGCGCGGGCGACTCTGCCCCCACTCCATTCCTATCACTGGGGAAGAAACGGGGGATACGCCTTCAGCCCTCTGGAAGCTGGTGAAAGAGGTAGCTAGGGCTGGCAGAGGAGGGGTGTGGGCACTAGTGTTCCCAAGGCCCCGCGGGGGCTGCAGCCTAGGCGCAGGGAGGGAGCGAGGCAGGCCCCTGGAAGGCGCCGGGGCTCGGAAAACGACCGAGAGCGGCAGGCGAAGAGAGGGGATGGGGCGAGCACCCCGCCCCAGGGAGAAAAGGAAAAACCAGGCAGCCTGAAGAACTCTTATGGTAATAAAAGAAAGCCACGAACGACTAAACCTTCATTTTCGTTTCAAACAAATCCTCTTAATTCTGAAAGAACGAAGGGGGTGGGGTGAGAGGAAACAGGAGGTGAAGAGAAAGGCGCAGGCAGTTTGAAATGCGGGAAAGAAGGGGAAGGCGAGAGACAGAAAGGCGCGCGGAGCTAAAGCAAGAAGGGGCGGTGGGCAGGGGCCGGCGTCCACCGCTGGGAGAGGCCCTCGCCGGCTTCACGCGGCTTCATCGATCGCCTACAAATTGCTTCTGGAGGCCCCCGGGACTCCCATTAGGTCTGTCCACCTTAGAGACAGACGTTTGATCTCAGTTGACGGGGTGGAGGGGAGGCATTAAATGGAATAAGTGAGTCATCGCCTCCCTGGACCGCCTCGGAGGAAGGCGCTGGTCCGGCGGGAGTCCCGCACGGCCCTGGGCTCGGCCCAGGAGGTGGGAAGCCCGCGAGAGGTCCGCAGAGAAAAGGGGAGACGGAGGTCTGGCAGGGCAGCTCGCTCGCAATCCACTGGCTCTGGCCTCTGCCCTAACTGGTGGGGAGGGTGAGGCGCCTCAGGCTGGGATGCCATCCTACCCCTGGCTAGGCGGAGACGTGGAGCCCCAGATGCCCGGGCCTGGCCGACTTCCCCTGCTCCCCCGGGATACCTGCGCTCCATTTACTTGGGGGGGGTTTCCAGTCTGTGTCGGAATCAGGACCCTCAAATCAGGGTGTGTTAAGGGGGCCCAAGCTGGAGTTGGGGGCTGCGAAGGGAGCAGGGCTCCTCCACGCTGTTTCCCGGGAGCGTCGGTAACGGCTTGTCCCCGGTGCAGGCGGCAGACCGCGGAGGAGCGTGAGGCTGAGAGGCAGCAGGCGAACCGCATTCTCCTGCAACTGCAGCAAGAGGCCTTCCAGAAGAGTCTGGCGCAGCCATTGCCCGCCGATCCGCTCTGCGTGCACAACTCTTCGCTCTTTGCCCTGCAGAACCTGCAGCCGTGGTCGGACGACTCCACCAAGATCACCAGCGTCACGTCCGTCGCGTCCGCCTGCGAGTGAGCCTGCCTGCTCTGCCCCGCGAGAGCCCGGTCCAGCCGCAGGGTCGCGGAGGCTGAGGGCCGGGCCTCCCTCCCACCCCTCCTGCTTCAGACTGCGCGTGGGAGGGAAACGCGGTGCCCCTCGTTACTGCCGAGCTCCTGCCGACGCTGTTTTCTCTTTGGTGGGAAAAAAAAAAAAAGGAAAAGAGTGTGGGGGACAGGGACCCGCGGCCTCCTTCCAGACGCCTGAGTGATCCCGCGCCCGCTGGAACTGTTCAAAGTCCTCTCGGTTTATGTCTATTTTATTCTATTCTGATTTTTAACGTGGGACTGAGAGAGGCAGAGGACGTTGGGGAATAAGAGTTTCTGGGGGCGTCAGAGGACAGCAGGGGCTGTCATTTGACCTTGCTCTGGGGAGAGCCCCTCTGTATTCCACTCCCCCATCACACCTGGACACCGGCAGGCCCACCCAGAGGTCATTTCACGGCCCCTCCCAGTGTCACCCAGAGCCAAACCTAGAGGACCTGTGTCAGAGTGTCATGCACACACAGGGCCATCGCCTTCACACTGTTGACTCTATCAGGCATAAGCTAGGGGTGACCCAGCTTCATTGTGAACAGCATGGCACTTCTCACAAACACAAGGCTACGGCCACACTGTGACACACTATCCCACACACAATGGCGTCACGGCCTGCCAGGCCCCCATCACACAACCTAGCCGCACCCAGGTACGCACAGGCAGGTTTTCACACAAACTCAGCCTATTTCTTCAGATCCTGTTCATAGGGGGAGCTTAAGTTATGCACTTATAAGGTGTTTTCTGTGTAACCATTTTATAAAGTGCTTGTGTAATTTATGTGAAAAAAATAATAAAACCCTCCGGATCCGGAGTCAGGGCTGCCTGCTCCTTGCTGAGCCCAGCACCTTGGGTTTGGTGTGAAATGGTGCCACTGGGGCAGCTGCTGGTGTCTGGGCATAAGGGACATCTTGGGGAGGGGCAAGACCTGCAGGCTCTGGAGAAAGGGAAGGAGGGGGACAGAGAGAAGCAGACCCGAGGAAAGGAAGGAGTGACAGGCTCTCCTGGGACGGCTGATGCTCGAGGAGATACAGTGTCTTTGAGTGTGAGAGTTGCGGGTGTGCATTGTGTGTTTGTGACGGTGTGGGCCTTCAGGGTGTTACTGATAATGAATGTAATAGTGTTTAAGTGTGTCATTGTGTTCGCAATTATTGTAAGCACGTGTTTCTGCTTAAGTTGCAAATCGAAAATGTCATCGCGCATATGAACTTGCAATGGTATGTGTGACCATGTGTGAATGTGATGGTGTCTTTTTTGGGTAATTGTGATCACTCACCCATATTTGTGACTATGAATCCTGTGTTAATGTGTGTGAGAGTACATATTAGTTTCTCCTCGTGAATCTATTTTTGTGTTAAATGTGTGAATGTTTAAATTGTGAATCATCTATATGAATATACTTGTGTGTCATATGTAATCATGTGTGACACGTAATCACATATGAGATGTGTGTTTTACTATATATACTTGTGTGTGACAGTATGTCATCAGGGAATGAATTAGGGGAGAATGTGGATCATTGTGGGTGACTGTCCCTGTCAGTGGTGAGTGTGTGTGGTTGGTTGTGATTGAGTGGGTGTAGTTGTGCACTGCTGGCGTGTGGAGGCCTAAGGTAGGGTGTGCAGATGCTCTGGGGGGAGGTACTAACATCTGCTAGGGAGTTCAGGCTTCCAGGCCCTCACTCAGCAAGCCACACAGGTTGGAGTACAGTGAGTCAGGAATTGGGCCAGGATCTTGGAGTGCTCTAAGTAGGACTTCCCGGCTCTCAGGACTAGTCTAACCTAGTAGAGATCTGAATAAATGACTCTCTAGGGAACTTCAGAGAGGCCCCACATCCACATCAGCCAGGACAGCAGCCATAGTACACAACATTCCCTGTAACATCCAGTCCCCTGGCTATTAGGCCAATCTCAGGTGCATAAATCTGACTTGTTTTTCTGACAGAAGCGAGGTGGGGGGTGGATGGGAGGGGTCTGAGGACATGCCGCCGGTCCTGGGGGAATTAAGTGGGGAGATAGGCTTTTTCTTTGGGATGTGAGTGTGAGAGAACTTTGTGGCTAGAAGCGAGAAGTGAGTAAGTGTGGCTCTTGTTCAGGCATACAGAGCTGTGTGTACCCAGAGGGGTTGGGGAGTCACAGAAACCATCAGAGATGCTGTCCTTCACCCTTGCCCAGGCACCATACAGGACCTGCCATACCACAGGGGGACAAAGCATGGGGCCTCCCACCCTAGGAGGCCCAAAGGGAAATTTGACTGGGTGGGACAGTGCTCATCCATCCCTCATCTGTGGCCCCCCTGGAGCCTGATCTCCTCAGAAGACAATTCTGTGTCCAAAGGACTAAGGCTGGCCCTCCCGTCCCCTCCACCCCCACCCCAGGCGCTGTGGGTGACCAGGCAGGGCCCTGACAGGCAGTGTTCCTCTTGGGGAAAATGTTCTGGCCACAACACTGGGTCTGCAGCCCGCCTCCCGCCTGCACCGGCTAAAACATCCAGCACCCGGCTGGGAGAAATCCGGAAATGGCCTCCCAGAACCACCAAATTCTGCCTGGGAATTCTGTGTCCTTCTGCCTGGGAAGGTCTGGTTGATCCCTCCTCTCCTATCGGGACTGTAGCCGCCAGGCCCGGACCGTCTCCGTTTGGCGAGATATCTTCTCCATTTGCGTCTTTAAGACGCACCTTCAGTGCCCCCCGGCTGTCAGATTCCAGAGCCTCTGAACCTCAGCAGAGACTGGGGCTTCCCTCCCACCTCCCAGTCCCGGGGACCCCCTCGAGAGGCTGCTGGCCCCGGAGGCTACTGGGTGTTTTCTGGCCACGGACTATCCAGCTGAGGCAGGACTGGGGAGCCGCTGCCCGGCACAAATGCAACCACCCGAACAGACTCCAAAATCCAGGTTATTCCCCCCAACCCCTCGCCCCCTTTTACAAAACAAACTCTGTGTAACATTAGGCATTACACGCCGGTCCCCGAAATACCTCCTGCCTCCCTGATCTTCGCAACAGCTGGGGTTCACACTCATAACCACGCGCGCGCATGCCCCCCGGCCCACTGCTCTCGGACCCCCCTCCAGCGTGTAGGGGACTCGCGGGGAAGCGGGCATCCCGCATGAGGGGTTCCCGGCCCTGGAGGCCCTGGCCCCGCGCGCCCGCTCCCGGGTACGCGCTGGCTCTCGGCACGCCAGCTGCCGGAGGCCGGGGTCGTGCGCTCTCCAGAGCCCCCTCTCAGGCGCCCAGGCCCTCGGGCGAGGCGTCCCCGGGGTGCCGGACTCCCTAGGGCACCAAGGCTCTCGGCGCCCAGGGGCCTCCAAAGACTCCCCGGTTTCCGCGGGGAATTCGTTGGGACCGAATCTCCGGCGAATCCCGCGTCGGCCGAGGGCCGCGGCAGCGGGGAAAGGCCAGGATGGCGCGGGGCCCGCCGGGGGCGGCTGAACCCGCACACCCGGTCCCGAGGGGGCGGAGGCTGGTGGAGAGGGGGCCGCGAGGGTCACAGTCAGGGCCAAAGACCTGCAGCAGAAAAGCTCATAACTCCCGGCTTGCCTCCGCGCCAGCCGGAAATGGTCGTCTCTGTTCAAAAAAAAAAAAAAAAAAACAGAAATGGAACTAACTCAGTGTCCGAATAACTGTGAAGAGAGGCGCGGAAAGAGAAGAGGAATAAACCAACCTGCGTGAGCAGAAAGATCGGCTTCCTTCCTTGGCTTGAGTGAGCTGACTGCCCTGACCAAATTCCGCGGGCAAGTGAGCCCTGAGCGCCGGCCCAGACAAGGCGCAGCCCAGCGTGGTGGCTGAGTGGGTGGTGGCCCGTGGGGCCCAGAAACCCAGGCAGGGCTGGGGTCCGAGAGGCCCGTGTTGTGCCGCCAGTGGTACACAGAGAATCTGGCTCAACCTGTTAACTATAATAGCGGCTTTGTGCCGATCTGTGCTTGGGGGCTGTGTGGGCACGGCCTGAGCGCTGCCTTGTGATGCCCCTACTGTGGTGTCAGGTGTGGGGTTTGCCTGGGCCCAGGACTCAGATGGGCATCCTGTTTATGGTATGCTCGCAGGTGGCAAGGTGCTTCCAGGTATATGAGACTACTGCTAGGAGGGACCTCCCTCCGGGCTGTGCCAGGCTGGAGCGGTTTGGAATCGGAGGCAACGCTACCCCAGGTGCGGAGCTGGGGCCCCGGGGCTGCCCTGAGGGCCCCTCAGGCCAGATGCGGGAGGAAACCCCTTCTCTCAAGCTGCCCCCGCATACAATCTCCACACACCGCTCGCTCCCACGCAGCCCTTGGAGTCTGGCTCCCTAATCAGCTCCAGTTTGGAGCCCCACAGCCAGGCCTCTGCGCTGGCAACTAACCCGAGTCACTTCCGCTTTTCCCGCATCGCTCGAAATCTTTGCCTAATGCCAGCCCAGGGAGGCCCCTGGCACCACTCTCCTGCACCCACGCCTGGCCTCCTATCTGGGGAGCCCGATGAAACAGGCTGAGCGAGGGCTAGAGACGGCTCGGATTTTCCAAGGAAATCAGAGCAGAATCCTAAGACGGTGTGTTCGATGGAGAGGGTGGTGGGTGAGCGGAGGCAGCGGTGGGGTACTCAGGTTGGTGGTGGTGGGGGGGGGGTGCCTGCAAACTCACATCTTGGCCACAGCCTGCATCGCTGTGGACAACCTCCATAACTCCTTCCACTGTGCGACCACTGGGTTGTGCGATGTTGCACCAGGGGGAGGGAGCCACAGGTGTGCGGGTGCTGGGCTTGCAGACGCACACGTACATTCTCTAGTGCTGGCTTTCTTAGTTCCCTCAAACTCACGCCGGTCCCGGCCCCAAGAAGCTCCTACCCGCGGTTGCCACCCCCTCTCCACCTCGCCAAGGGCACTCCCCTTCCCCACCCCTCCTCCCCCTACCCTGAGTGGGGAGGGCCTAACTCGACTCCCGGCGGCTTGGGGGTGGGGATTTCGTAGGCCCGCGCTTC